GCTGTTCTCCGAGCATTGAGACTGCGGAAATAGTCACATTTAGGACATTCCAAATCGTTATCAATATCCCTGGGAGATGTTTCTTCTTTCTCGCCATTGGTTGTTGTGGCCAGCTCGGTGGCCAGCGGTGTATCGAACTGCTACAGGATTTTCTTCGGTTTACTGTGATGGGATCTGCACCATTGGAATGTTGAATACTATCTGTGAACAGGTGTTACTAGTAGCCTGTCTTGTAACCGGGATTTCCTGAAGCAGAATTCTGTTTTTTAAATGTTGTATTTCTTCTGATGACATCTGAACCAGAGTCATGTCATGCTGATCGTGTAATTCTGGACGTGTTACATTTGGCACAGCATTGATTGAGAGATTAACTGCATTTACTAGTTCATTATTCCTGACTTGTTGAATTGGTTCGGATCGATGAGTTGGCACGTTAACCACTGTGAATACAGAAAAAGGTTGAAAATTAGAATCACTTTGGTCGAAACAGGTATTTCTTTCTGGCATTCTTCTGGCATTGCGGTGTCGCACATTGCATGCGAGGATCCGATCTTTTACCTATATTTTTTAGTAAACAATTCTAAGCTTACCTGATGTTTGTGTCGAGCTTGAGAAATCTTCCTCTGATGAGTCCATTTTCGTATCAACCCATTTGCAAGTTGCCGAGCAGGGAGAACTATGATCTTCGTCCACCGTTTGAGCATCAGGGAACATGGTTTTCGGATTTGGTTCTAATGGATCGTCAACCCTCTGTGGGGGGCCCTGAGTCTCCGTCTGCTTCACTGCAACGAAGACGTATCCGGTACTGCTGATTTGCTTATTATGCGCAGCTAGAACGAGCATATTAAGGTGTTACACTTGACATAATTATCTTATAATTATTTAAACTTACTTCGTCGTTAATTTCTCCTCCATTTTGAGAATTTGCACGCTCCTCCAGCAGGTTTAATTTTCGATTGACCAGCGTGGGTGCATTTCTTGGTTCTGTGGGAAAATATGTACATTTCATTATTAAAAATGTATTGTTAATAGTTTAAAATACCTACGCTTAATGCTGCGTGATTTATAATGCTCGCGAGCAGCTTTCTTCTTCGGCGACATGGTTTTTTTTTCAAATTGAATACTGCGCAAAAATGGCTAACTTTTCTGATTCTGAATCAAAGCTGCGGAAGCAGTGCTGCACACTAAGAACAAATAACTCAAATGTAGGTTTACAGGAATGTTAAAGTTTCTTATGGTTAAGGAGTATACGCAACAATTTAATAAAGGTTGTGTATATGGTAACTATATCTTGTACAGTTGAATTACATTATTACTGCAATGAATCAAGTATACAGAAACCATAATCAATATGGTAACCTCAATTCGAACCGTTGGGATAAAGTCGAACCGGTTATCGAAATGGTATTTAATTATGCGGGATGGATGAGATGTTCTACGTGGAGACATTATACAGTCATCAAACGCCGTGTACCAGCATCGATGCCATGTCTCGAAAACGTTGCATTGTGAAAGAATCGCATTTGGTTTACAACTGTCTTCCCAGCTTGAGTGTGTCAGGTTGATCGGAAACGAACGTTTTATTTTATCGCGCATTGATGATTTATAATAATAAAAAAATATATATATTTTCTTAACATAAAGATTAACTCTAAACTCTAAAATCATGTGTAAAATAAAAATATTTATTTTTGTTTACAAAGCTGTCAAATAAAAAAAAATTCACGTTTATTTTCAACTCGAATATTTTTAAAATAAACGTATAATTATTTTTATTTTAAACATTGATATCACACTGACTTTGAACATAACGTACGTTTGAATCAACCTATTTTATTTTTGTGGCCAGAACAAACTGAGTTCACGTTTATTTTTACCAGGGGGAACGACACTCATTTGGATGTATTTTTTCAGTCTAGTAATTACTTGGGATTTTCGGGGAAAAACATAATTGATGGGATTTTTTTGAGTGTGTCGTGTTGACGAAAATAGAGCAGGGATAGAAAAAATAGATGGGAATAGATCAGGCAATTGATGTGATGTCGAGGTGCGGTATAAGAGGTGAGGAGAAAGGAAACTAGTGGACTCTTTCATTCTGACGGTGTTCTTATGCAATAGCAGACGTGACGTCACGTCTGTTGCTGCGTAAGAAGACGCGAGAACGAAAGAGTCCACTAGTTTCCTTTCTCCTCACCTCTTATACCGCACATCGATGTGATGTGAGGGATGTTAAAAAATTTCAGAGGGATACGAGTCTGAACGCAAAGAGGATAGGTGTAAAAAGAAGAAAAATTTGCTGCAATGAAGCGTCCATGAATTACGTAACGCTTATAGGGGGAGAGGGGGTCACCTATATCGTTACGAATTATACATAGGGGAGGAGTAGTAAAGCTTTGCGTTGCGTAAAAAAGAGAACATTTTGTTTTTTTTTCGTTTCTTGATGTAAAGTTTGAAAATACAGGTCTTTTTTGACGCTTTTGGCAACGACAACGAAGGCTATCATCACTAAATCTTGCTTTACAAAATGGATCTGTTTTAATTTTATAAATTGAGATTTTTGCTATCTTGAACTTTTGAAAAGGAGGTACACGATGGTACGCTGATTTTTTGTTTTTGTTTTGAATATTGATAATATAATTAATTACCTAAAAATAAAAAAATACAAAACGAAATCATACATTAATTAAATGAAAAGGCGGGGGAGGGGGGTTTATAGAGCGTTGCGTAATAAATAGAGGGGGGTCATTTTCAGTGTACCGTTTTGTTCCAAAGGGGGGGGGATCAAACATATTGATTTTTAGCGAAACGGAATTAATGGACACCGCTCGGGACACCGCCCAACTATAATAATCAAAGCTCACAGCTCAAGTGCAGAAAACGGTTCCGCACCGAAAAGGTCGAAACTGCACAGTAGGATGAACGGGTGATGGCGATGGATTACAAGGTTCCAGTTAATATTCCCAGCTGTAATTGGACGGGAATTTGATCCGCAATATTCTCGCACAGAAATACATCACCCGGTGGGTGTCTTACTTCACTATTAGCTCTTTCTTATCCGAACCCTTGACCAGCAGCAGAGACGAGTAAAACTTGGGCCGAGTGGAAAAAACGACCTGAATTCCTTTTCCACCTGCTTGTCGTAGGGGGTTTCATTGGTAAGGCTTTTCCCGGGGCTAGAATCAGCAGTTCGAACGAAATCAACAGTTGCTTCGCGCCTGTTCGGTAACTTCCATGATACAACACACAGAGACCCGGGCTCTTATCCGTCGAATTCGATCGGTTTGAGTCCGGGAAATGGATGTGCGTTGCCGTCTCCTCCGTGATGCACTTGATGTTTTTTGCCCCCGAGACCGATTATAGACGAATGGTCCGTCATCTTTTTTTAGTTTTCGCACCGATTTTTTACCGGCATGGTCAGCTGACATACGTGGTGTTTGTTGTGGAGAGTGTTGTAAACTGACAGTGAGTATGGCAGAGTGCTTCGTGGTCGACCTGAAAACTTCGAGAAACTGCACGGCTTGCTTGACAATTTGTGAACATGCAGAAGGGATATGTTGGGAATAGAAAGAATAGATAGAATGGATTGAAATTTTGTGCACGTTGAAAATTATATGAGAGGTTTGGGTAAAAATGGGATAATCCTGAAGTGAAGTTCCCCCTGATTTTTACCTCAAATATTTTTATTTCGATGATACTTTTTTCTGCGTGCACATGAATACAAATATATTAATTATGCTGGGTTTCGGAAGACATCATCCGCAGGTTTTCAGTGAGTAGAAAATCGTTGTCATCGTATTGCGATATCACAAAGTTGCAGGTGAATTTTTTCAGCTGACTGTTTTTTTTTTTTTTTTTTTTTTATTATAGTCACTTTAACACCTTGGGTCATTCGTGACTTGTCCGGGGGTGAGATTTGAACTCGTGACTTTGGCGTGAGAGGTATGAATGTTAACCACTACGCCGGGGTCGCCCCCGGCTGACTGTTGATTCTAGGGTTGATTCGGATCTATTCATTGGTAGATTTCATCGTCTGAAAAAAAATCTAAATAACTTCACACAATATCATTGATAATTAAATACTTACAATTTTAACTAATGATGTCACAGTGGATTCCGTAACCGACAATTGTAAAAATATTACTTGAAATATCCAGCGGATTTAATGTTAATTTTCAGTTTCATTCCACACAAGGAACATGATTTGCGACTTTTGACGTTAAGATTAATTTTAGCGGCAAATGTGTGTCCAGTGCTGCCAAAAACGTTGCTATGACAAGGTATTTTTGACAGTTAAACAATTTTCATTTTAAAAATATGCGCTTTTAAAAATACAAGTCAAAAGTGAAAAATACACTTTCAAACCAAACCAAATACTTTTGTTTTTAAAAATTTCATGGTTAAAACTATCAAAGCTGGGAAACTTTTATTTTGATAACGCTTGTTTTTATTGATACAATTTTTGTTTTGTGTGTGTATCGATCCATCAACTCATGAACCGAGGACCAATGGCTTTACTTCCCTTCCGAAAGAAGGCATCATTCTCGGCGTGATCAGAGATGTTATGCCTCAGAACATCCCAGCGGTGCCGACTGGGATTGAAATCAGGCCTGCTGGGGTAAGAGATAATCACGCTTCTCACTATATCACCGGCGCCGCTACTGATTTTTTTGATGGCATTCCGCACCCATAATATTTAAGTTCTAGAAATGATTACTTCTTACACATTTTGCTGTAAAAACCGTTCTTGAAAAATGTGTAAAAAATACACACACCCAGCGGTTTACACATAAATGTGTAAACGCAGTTTACACATTTTATGAGTGGCCCCTTTTTTTCGAAATATGTGAAATTTTACACATTAATGTGTTTACGCTGGTTACCGTGATACCGGGTTTAGTTTCCTATCCGTCGTACCGATTGAAGCAAACAAAAACGTCAGAAATGACAGGTGGGAACAGTGTCAAAAAGAAGCATCGACCAAAACGTCAACACACACGGAGCAGTTTGTTCTTCAGAAAAAGTGCCGTGTGTGGTGTGTTCGTGTTTCAATGTTCTCGCTCTTTGATTGCTAAAACTCCGGAAAAATCTATCTACTTCAAAGTTTGTGCAATTTGAAATTATCCTTCCACCATGCCTCCGAAGAAAACATCATCAGGGGCATCCAAAAAAACCGAGACCAAGAAGAAGGAGAAAATCATCGAGGTGGGTGGAATGTTTATAAGCGGTTGCCTTGTAGTCGTCACTAACTTATCTAATTTTAATATTCTATTTTAATCAATTCTTTCGCCTTCCAAAAACAGGATAAGACTTTCGGCTTGAAGAACAAGAAAGGTGCCAAGCAGCAAAAGTTTATAACTCAAGTTGAAAAGCAAGTTAAGAGTGGAGGCCAACATAACCTATTGAGCAATCCGAATGCCAAGAAGGAGGAAAAGGAGAAGAAGTTAAAGGAGCAGAAAGAGCTGGCTTCGCTGTTCAAGCCAGTTCCGACACAGAAGATTGAGAAAGGCGTTGATCCGAAGTCGATTCTGTGTGCTTTCTTCAAGCAGGGAACCTGTACCAAGGGCGACAAGTGTAAATTTTCTCACGACTTGTCCATTGAGAGGAAAGCCGAGAAACGTTCCGTTCATGTGGATATGCGAGATGGGGAGAATGATACAATTGATAACTGGACCGAAGAGAAGCTGGCGGAAGTGGTCGCAACAAAGCACGGCAAGGAAAAGAACATGCCAACGACTACGATTGTGAGTAAATTTTATTTTTCAGATTTATTCCAAAATGATTATTATTCATTCAATTTCTCAGATTTGTAAGTACTTCCTGGATGCTGTGGAAAAGGCCCTCTATGGTTGGTTCTGGGAGTGTCCGAATGGTGAAAAATGCATCTATCGTCATGCTCTTCCCCCGGGATACGTTTTGAAAAAGGACAAGAAGAAATTGGATTCACTAAAGGAGGAAATTTCGCTGGTTGACTTAATCGAAAGGGAACGAGCAGCTCTGGGACCGAAGCAAACTCGTGTCACGCTGGAAACTTTCATTGCCTGGAAGAAACGCAAAATTCAGGAAAAGAAACAGCGTGATCAAGATGACGAAGATCGCAAACGGAAGGACTTCAAGGCTGGCCGCCAGAATGGACTCTCCGGTAGGGAAATGTTTAGCTTCAATCCAGATCTGGTCGATTTCGGTATGGATGACGGTGAGGAAGCGATTGAATCCTATGGCAGGAATGAAGACGACGATGACGCTACGGAATACAAGGAATTGGACTTCACCATGCTGTCGTTATCAATCAAAGAGGTAAAGGAGTTTGCAATCGTGAGAAACGTTCCCTTGCATAAATGTATTTTCTTTTTGTAAATCACTTTTACAGGTCGATAATACTGGTACCGTGGCCGAAGAGGATAGGTGGGAGAAAATGAAAACTAATTTGCCGGTAGTGGCAGAGAACGGTGAATCCGAAGAAACTGCAGCAGCTGCTGGCAGTTCCTCGGATGCAGCACCTATTAATGAGAACCTTTTCCTCGACGAAGACCTGGAAGGAATCGACGACGAGCTTAGCGACGACGACGATGATGACGATGACGATGACGAAGCGAATGAGAACAGCGAAAAGTCGTGATATGGAGCAGCATGAATTTTGGAAGAATGCGTTTCGTTAATGTAATTATTATTTAGATTGTGAGCAGGTAAATAATTGTTCGCGCCTGAACATTTGATATGGCTACAATTAAACACGTACAGTCAAATTATCCTTGGCATGTGTTCTTCGAATTGTCCGAATGCAATACAGGTTTTAAACAATATGATGAAGCTCACGAGCATTCTATCGGTTCTATACACCTCTGCCTAATCTTAAACCAGGGGCATATTCTGTAGCTAAGACGAAACGACTTTTTTTTATACAAGCGTTTATACGGAAAACGCTTCGGTTCGACTTCCCCAATGAGGTTCTAGGTGTACCCATATAGTTAAACCTGCTTTAAAATAATGTTTAAACGATTTACAATCTTCAACGTGTATAATAGTACTTCACGAACCTTTTGAATTGTTGGTTGGTTGGTTGGTTGTCTTTATTAAGGAGATTTTCAGCCAGACGCTGGTGTAGTAGATAGAGTTAGTGTTGAATAAAGAACGAGTAGAATCGAGTGAGCGTGAAGCGTGATAGTCCGTATGTAAACGGAATCTTATTGATTAGATATGAGGTACCTAAGCTCGTTGAAGACAGACATCAGTGCTCATTCTCTGCTTGATCGTCAAGCAGTACAGTTCGGTTTTTGCTCGCTCTGTCGAGTTGTTCGAAAGTTTCTAGTTTGTTCCAAACGTTCGCAGTTTAATAGTGTCGGTCGCTTCGTGTGATGGGAAGACAGCGCTCCTGGAGCAGGCTCCGAGAGAAAGCGGAGAAGAAGAACAGCGGTGAGGGTAGCTTGAGTGTACATATTTCGAATAGGTACGCTACTCTTCCCACCGATGTTGGGAATACCACCTCAGCCACGGTGAAGCGGACCAAGAAAAGGAAGAAAAATCAGGGCCAATCCGATGGTACGAGTGGACGTGACGATGCTACCGCGACGAACGTCAGCATCATTGGTGACTTCGGCGACGCCGTCGACAATGAGAATTCTGCCGGCCCGAGTGGGGCAAAAATTAAGCTTCCTCCACTGGTGGTGAAGCAAGTGCCACTCAACACGCTGATTGACGATCTCTCATCGCTGGGCATTGCAGCTGAGTTTAAGCTCGACAGGATCGGCACCAAGGTGATGCTCCGAACGAAAGCGGAGTACGAAGTGGCCGTTAAATATCTGAAGGATACCAAGGCGGAATTCTTCACGCACGACATCCCCGGTGAGAAGGCTACAGGGGTCTACCAAACTTCGACCCCAAGATGGTCGAAGCTGAAATCAACCGGTACAAGCTAGCCCCAGCCCCGTAACGTGGGTAGATCACCTTTTCGTGGTACGTTACGGGATGTAAGATCTACCACCGATTCCTAGTCCTGACTACTTTAAACTAGGGGAACAGGATTTTTCAGTATGCCAAGGAACACATCTTAGTCCTTGTTACTTTTTATGCCTTGTTGATAGTGACAAGACTCGGCTTTGCCCACCGAGGATGATCTTGAAACAAGGAAACAATGAGTTAGTTAGTCTTCATCTATGTGATTCCTAATCTTCTATTCGTTGATCTCCAGTTTGAAGTGGTTAAGACTAGGGTTCTGATGCATGGTCATTATCGGTGTCATTCCTTAATTTTGTTGCTAAGGAATCCAATTTTGACTGACAGAGGGGCGCGCCTTTGGAGGGTGTTTCAACACTCCGAAGGGTATAAATAGCGGAACCTTTCAATTAGAGTCGGATCCTTGCGATAAATACAAGGATGACAACTGTGAAAAAAAATCGAATACTTTATCATTTCTCAATCGTGATGGAGTAATACGACATGCACTAAACTAAGGACACGGGATAGACTACAATAGATCAAACTACTGGTCGCAGTGGTGTTAGGTCCCGAACAGAGGGAAAAAAAGCTAGCCCCAATCGCTGTCTACCGAATGACAAGGAGAGAAGGAAAATGTGAAGACGTACCCATATTGTCTTTTCCTGGTGCACTTCCAGAAAGGGACGGTGACGCTCAATGCGTTGCATGCCATCCGATCGATCTACTCCATCATCGTAAGGTGGGAGCCATACCGTGGCGGCCATCGTGACGTAACGCAGTGCCAGAGGTGCCTCAATTTTGGACACGGTACTCGCAACTACAACATCTTGCCACGCTGCAGCAACTGCGCTCACGAACACGCCACTTCTGACTGCCCAGCGGATGAAGTCGTGGCGTTAAAATGCGCCAACTGTGGTGGTGCACATCAAGGTTCCGACAGACAGTGCTCCAAACGCGAGGACTTCAAACGCATCCGAAAGCAGGCGTCAAGCAACAATCAACCAGGACGCAAGAAGGACAAAACCCCAGCATTCAGGACGGAGGATTTCCCGCCTCTTCGTGTTCCCCAGCAAAGACAAGAAGCTTCCGGTGATTCTGCTGACCAAAGCTCTCCACCCCTGGATTCTGGAGACAACCAACAACGCAAAGCAACAACCCCGATCTATTCTCAGCGGACGAACTGATGGAAATTTTCTTCAACATGTCCGGTGCTCTTCGTAAGTGCCGCAATAAACTCGAGCAGATCCAAGTGCTCGGTAGGTTCATCATCCAAAATGGCGTCTAAACCGCTAACTCACCTGGAATGCTTGCTCTGTAAGAGCAAAAGAGATTGAGCTTGCCGACTTCCTCCGCAAGCACAGCATCGATGAGGGCCTTCTAACCGAGACCCATCTAAAGTCCGGCGACAGCTTCTGGTTGCCTGACCACAGCATTATTCGGCTTGATCGCACCAGCTCCAGGGGGTGGTGTTGCGGTCGTCGTCAAGAAAGGAATAAAATACCACACTCTGTCCCATATCCGCACCTCTATTATTGAGGCCCTTGGTGTGGAGGTGGAGTCGTCGACTGGATACGTCCAGTTCATCGCCGTCTACTGTCCTCGACAGTGTGCCGCCAGCAGTGGACTTGCAGCCAAATTCAAGAAGGACCTGTCCATCATCACCCGTAGGAGATCTAAATGCTCGCCATGAGGCCTGACGGAACTACCAGCAGAACCAGAACGGTCGTCTGCTGTTCGACCACTCGCAGCATGGGCTGTACTCCGTTTGGTTTTCGAATGAGCCAACATTCATCTCACCGGCGAGCAATCCATCGATGCTAGACCTGTTCCTGATAAATACCAGCTTGTCCAAGCCGGTAGCCTTGAACGGACTCAGCTCCGACCGGTGGTGGCTGAACTGGACTACAACGTGGCCCCTGCTCCAAGTCTGCACAAGGACGACCACCGCGTAAACTGGGCCCAGTTTGGACGCGTGTTAGACAGGCACATCATCGACAACCTACCGCTTGACACCGTGGAGGACATCGACCGAGCGTTGGAGGGACTCCACCAAGCCATAACCGTGGCTGACGAGGCGTGCGTCCGACGAGTTCCTGTGAGGGGTAAATCTATTGCCATTGATTCCTACGCCCAACTCTTGATTCGCCTGAGAATTGTTCGTAGACGCCAGTTCCAAAGAACCGTAGATCTAGCGAGGAAACGTGAAATGGCCTATCTGAACAAGAAGATTGCTTCCAGAATGGTCTCACTCCGGAACGAATGTTTCGGACGGCTTATCCAGAATCTGGACGACCGCTCCAGACCATTCTGAAAAGTTGCCAAGGTTTTAAAGACGCACGTCAAACCTTTTCCACCACTCAAAGACGAAAATGATGACGATCGGCTCATAATCACCCCGCAGGAGAAAGCAAATGCGATTGGTGATTGATTCCTTCCCCTTGTGCTATCCCTCCGGAGGATACAATCACAGTGGAACAGATTTGCTCAGCGCTGAAATGCACCAAAAACATGAAGGGTTCGACGGAATTTTCTACCTAGTGTTGAACATTCTCAGCATGAAGGTTCACTTGACAATAGATGCTTGGAACTGCACTACTTTCCAAGTATCTGGAAGACAGCAAAAATCGTACCTATCCGCAAACCCGGGAAGGACCCAACGCTAGCTTCAAGCTACAGACTAATCAGCCTCCTTTCAGCGCTGAGCAAATTGTTCGAGAAACTTATTCTCAATCGTTTGCTCAAGTTTGTCGAGGAGCACAACATTCTCCTACCGGAACAGTTCGGGTTCAGTAAGGGGCACTCCACAAATCATCAGCTAGTACGGGTGATGAATAACATCCAAAGTAACAAGGCTGTATCCAACACTCCAAAAAATATGCACGTCCGATCTACGTGAAAACATAGGTAGCTTTCGTCCATACTACTTTTCACGTAACATTTACGTTAATGTCATGTAGCCAAAAATATTCGCATTTAGTGGTCAACGTGAACAGTAAGGTAAATTTTACGTGATTTCCACTTAACTTGGAATAGATTTTCACGCAATGTTTACTTGATTTTTAAATGATATTTACTGACATTTATTGTTTATTGATTTTTACTAATATTGAAATGGATTTTCACAGAATGTTTACGTGATCTTGAAGCAACGTTTACAAGATCTAAAAACACCAAGAAAATAATTTTTAAACATTTTTAGATTTTGTAATTAAACGTCAAGCATTTCTCTATTGCCATTAAAAAATTAACACTGAACATTTCGTTGCCTCAAATCTTTGATCAGGACCATTCTGATGCAATATCTGTTTGCGCTGTCTTATTCAGAGTTATGATATTGATTCCAGCCTCTGAAATCTAAATAAATACAATTATTTGCGCGGTCTTCGAATGATGTAAAATAGTATAAAAACACCTTCTAGTTTATGCAGTGTTAGTGTTAGGAAATCCAAAAATGAGAGCAACTCTTCCTTTAATGAAGTCGACGCCATATTGAATAACTTTTTCATACATGTAAATCACGTAAACCCATTTCACGTAAGCACTTTCATCATCAGCTCCAGTGAACATTACATGGTATGTTTGTCAATTTCACTACCATCATGTAATAATGGAAGTTGAAGTAATCGAAATGGCTACTTGATTTTTCACGTAGGTTGAACGTGTATACTTTGTAGAGTGTACATGCTTATCACATTCTTTTTACGTGAAATTCCCGTAGTATCAACCGACATGAAAATCACGTACATTTTATCAAAATTCCATTTGACATTGATCTGCGGCACGTGAAAATGATTGAAGTGGGGTGTTTAAGGGGTTACGTGATTTTTCACGTAGCATCAACGTGAAGATTTTTTGGAGTGAAGTCCACAGCCATGGCATTGTAAGACGTTGAGAAAGCGTTTGACAATGTCTGGCACAATGGGCTTGTATACAAGCTTTGTAACTTCAATTTTCCTTTGCATCTTGTTAAAATTACCCGTAACTACCTTCAGCAAAGGTCGTTTAAGGTATCGTTGAATGGCTGCCTTTCAAACACGTTCTCCATCCCAGCAGGAGTTCCGCAAGGAAGCATGTTGGGCCCTTTGCTTTACAGCATCTACACTTCAGACATTCCTCCCTCGGAGACGTTTGCGTGTTTTTCCTGTTCGCAGATGATACCGCAATAACCGTCAAGGGTAGGATGCCTTGCGAAATAACAAACAAGCTCCAACAATGCCTTGACGCCTTTGCTGATTATGCCACCACGTGAAAAATTAAAATCAATGCCTACAAAACACAAGCGATAATGTTCCTCCATCGGCAATCACCCAAACTAAAACCGGCTCCCTCTTGTACTGTAATCATGGATGGCACAAGGGTTGAGTGGTCCGCCGAAGTAACCTATCTCGGGATGTTGTTTGACGAAAAGCTCCTATTCCGCTCGCATGTGGAGAAAACCGTTTGTCTACAAACAAATTATAGCACCTTCGATCCTCTACGCAGCTACGGTGTGGGAATCATTTGCACAGACTCACAGGAACAAAAATCAAGCCGCTCAGAATAGAGTGCTGAGGATGATACTTGATCGTCCTTTTGGCACAATAATTTCAGCACCGACAAACCGACGTGACACTTAATTCTTACTTATGCCCGAAAATCGTAAGCGGACGATTTAAATGTTCAGTGATCCGAACTGTCAAAAACATAGGATTTTTTTATCTAGATAAAAATAGTTTGTACAGAATAGATCAGATACGAACCAATTCATAACTTTTGCATGCAGGTTCATGGCTGAGCTAAATATTTCCCGCGAACACGGAGCCAGATATCGTAGTGTACTTTGGTCAGAAATTTTATTGCTTTAGCTATGGTCATTCATGTCGGTTTGTCGGTGATATTATGGCGTTTGTGTAACGTAATACAGGAATTTCGGATCGCAAAAACCGTGCCCAGACACCGAAGGTAGGAATGAATTTTCCATTATTTCAATTTATTCTCATATACTTTTTCTTTCTCGCAATAGCTTAAGTTACATATAAATTGGTACGATATTTCTTTCAACTCTCAATAGACCATATTCCTGTTTCCGGCTCTCGCTGGCATAACGCTCTACTCATTTGCTTCATTCGCAGAAAAATTACTCTCAGTTTCGTCTTTTTGCTTTCGATCGTATTCGATTGACTTTCTCTGGGTTGTCAATTCAAGTTTCTGTTTTCTCTAAATTTATTCCGATCAATGAATTTTGTTTCTTTTTTTTTTCGACTAAAAGATATAAATGATGGAAACTACATGACTTTTTCTTATTCTTCTTACTTTCCTAACGACCTACAGCTATTGATTAGAGTTTATGCTTCTGTTATCTTCTTTTAGGATCCTTTAATTCTTCTTTGAGAAACGATTTCAGCTATAAACAGTTATGTAAAAAAAAAAAACGGAAAAGTTTCGAAGCAGACTTTTATTTTTTTGCACTTAGGTCCTAACGAAAACGAAATTAGAAAATAATAGACATGACTTGGTTTCCTAATATTGGGACACTTTACTCTAGTACTTTACACGATTTCCTGTTATCATCTACCATTCATACCGGCGACGGTTCGATTTCTTACTAAATCTAGGTTTAATGTTCTTGTTTCCTTCTAGTCAATGAGTTTTACTATTTATGCGTCCTCGTTTACCTCATGAGTCTCTATTTTATGTTCAATGTTTGTTATGTTTAGTTACCTTTTTTCATTCGGTTAAAAGTTTCGGTGCTATATTTAGCTAGTGACGGCATTATAATTACTTTCGGTTCGCTGGTGCTGGGAGCAGCTTTCGATTTCTATCAAAGAGTGCACTCTGTCTGTGTGTTTAGTTTAGTAGTTGTTTTGTTTAATTTTGTTTAGCAAATTTCTAGTCTATGCGATTTTATGGGTAGCGTGGTTTGCTCTATAAAGCTACTAACACGGGGGTTGTCGTTTTATCTTGCTTCGTTTGCCATATTTCGGGACTATGACAGGGAGGAGGGAGTACTGGTTACGATACGAGCGTGCTGCTTGGGTGTGTGGAAGGAAGTGGTGAGTGGTGCCTATCATCCTCTAGAATGGTGCGAGTGAATCCTAACGAAATGGTATTCTAATGGAAGTCAATGTCAATGAAATTAAAGCAAATGATCGTCTTCAGATTCTCTGCTCAGTCAGCAGCCCATATCGGTGTTCCAGATCTAGTTTTGATTTCACTTTTTTGTTACCTAATACTTCGTCTAATACGAATTGACACATGGTTTATCGGGTGTTTAGCTTCTCGTGCAAACTGCAATTTGCGATGGTTTGATCTTAAAATCGTGTGAGCGTGAGGTGTTCGTCGTTGGAAACAATGTTGGATATGGCGTTGAGTGTGGCGGCGTGCTTTTGAGTGACACATCCCTTGAAACGAGTTTGCAACTTAGAGACGATTTTATCACCGGCAAACTGATATGAAACTTCAACTTAACTTTTGCTCAAAAACCTATAACGGGCGATTCAAATGTGCAGCGATCCCATCTGTCAAAACCATAGAAATGTTTTTATCTAGATAAAAAATAACTTGTCCAGAATAGATCAGACACGAACCAACTCATACATTTTACACGCGTATTCGTGGCTCAGATAAAAGTTTTCCGCGAACACGGATAACAACATTGCTGAACATTGCATTGGGTCCTAAGCAAGCTTGCAAATGCTCATTACAGCTAAAATGCTATTTTTCAGATTTATGAAGCTATAAGAAATTTTTTTTTGTTAATTATAGTCACTTTAACACTCTTGGGTCATTCGTGCCTTGTCCGGAGTGAGATTTGAACTCGTGACTTTGGCGTGAGAGGTATGGATGTTAACCACTACGCCGGGGTCGCCTCCAGATATTTTAATGATAATTCTTATTCACAAGATGCAAGAAAAGAAGGTAAAGTGTGTGTATGACACATAAAACCTGTCAATTTAGCTTTCAGAGGGTCACAATAGCGATTAACTGTAACGATGAGCAACGCGATGAGCGAGCAATCAGCGATCATAAAATCGTTAGTTGTGACTTTGTGAAAGCAAAATTGCCGAATTTTATAAGTCATACACAAACTTTACCACCTCTTCTCGCTTCTTACAAATAAAAATTATCATTATCCCACAGTTTCATAATTACGAAAACAAGCATTTTAGCTGTAATGAGCAATTGCAAGCCTGGTGCTAAGTAACATTGCTTGATTCTCTGCGTAGACTTTCTCTTTCGTTAATAGCATGAGCACATAACCGTTTCTTGTTTTGTTTGTCGTATTAGATGCTAGATAAAAGCTTCTTTTATCGAACTGTATGCTGCAAATACCTGGGAATGTCTTTACATGGCCGTGGGGAAACAAAGAGAAAGTCGACGAAGAAAATCTGTCAATGTTACTTAGGACCTAATGCAATGTTCAGCTTGATTTGGCAGTAGTAAGCGGTAATTTCTGGGGCCTCATAGCCTAGTCAGTAAAGGCACGGTATTACCAAGCCGGAGGCGGCGGGTTCGATTCCCGGGCCGGTCGAGGGAATCTTTCGGGTTGGAAATTTTCTCGACTTCCCTGGGCATAGTTTACTCGATATCTATCCATTGCATGCAATATTTTGATAATTGTTTATGTTTTGAGAGTTGGTGCACAGGTAGATTGAGGTTAAAGAAACGCCACTGCACTAAGCAATAAGCTTGAAATCCGAATAAGAAGAAGAAGAAGCGGTAATTTCTATGGTCATTCATGTCGGTTTATTGATCATTTTATGCCCATTTCTCATGTGTCCCTGATATGAAGGTAGTGACGGAAAAATATTTTTTAGGAAAAAAAAATTCGTTCATTGAGCTTGGCTTACTACGAAACGGAGGGAAATTCTCCCTAGTGAAGAACTGGTGTGAGTTCATCACATCGCAAAAGATTGATTTAAATGCAAAACATGTGACAGTCGATTAAATGCAGTTATTTTGACTTGTTTAAAACAATAGTACCGATTTTCAAAAGGTCCTATCAGCATTGATCGATTCTCTTCATCGACTCGCTTTCGTTAATAACTTCGTTGCATTCATATTTCGGGTTAATTAGCGTATTGGACAATAAGAACAGCTGAACATGTTTTTGGAGCAGAATTATTAACGATAGAGAGAGTCGAAGAAGAGAATCGGTCAATGATGATTGGTCTATTTGAAAGGTGACGCGAGATTTTCAATTTAAGCAATGTGGTAGAAAATGTACGATTGTATTGAAAAGTATTAAGAGCTGAGAAGGGAGAGCCTTTAGTGCCAAATTCATGGCTCATAGTTGGCACAAACCGAAGGAATGCACAGCACAGCTCAACACATATCAAACCTTGTTGCACAACTGAAATTCGTTCTGAAAGTGATCACAACACTCCTAACATCGGACTGAGTAAATTGCTCGATAACGGCCCATCTCGAATTGTTCGCATCAAACTGCATATTCTTATTTTCACCTTTCGTATAAATACATACAAAATACACATACACCGTTGTCTCCAATTCAGCTCATGCATACGGAATATTCTTCTCTCAAACACCCATCAGCCCTAACACAGACACACTAAGCCCACCGGAGAGCGGAGGTTGACCAAAAAACAAGTGAACAATTACACCAAACGCACGGACTTCCACATCCCAGCGGAAGAATCACGACAGAATGGCAACACTTCGCCGCACGTTGCCCTGCTGGTGGATGTTATCGATGGAGGACCACTTCTTCATGCCATTTTTAAGCGCTTCCGCCGTTGCCTTATCCTGCATCACACGGGACATGGCTTCCAGCTTTTGGGCCCGCTCCTTCGATAGCGGTTCCGTCGGGAATGATAGGTCGTTTGCTTCGGCAAGCGTTCGCAGATCGAAGTAATACTTGGCGTACACGGACGATGGTACATTGATGTTGAATTGAAGCAGTTCGAGAAATTGCCTTTCGAGTTCGTTCATGTCTTCGACGGTGATGTCCTTCAGGATCTGGCAGTAGTCCACGTTCCAGACCGCCTGGTCGTCCCACACCTTGGACGCGAGCAGGATTGCACCTAGCACTATCCGTTTCCAGTTGTACGGGCCGATGTCCAGCTCGGCGTACGTTAGTAACCGTTCCAGGTATATCAGGGTGATGATGGCACATTCGGCTGTCAGCTGAGCGGCATTGAACAGCGTCCGGACAAACTTGTAGATTTGCCGATGTTCGGGATTGTGCTGGTCGTAATCGTCCGGCACTGGTTCGCGGGTTAACGGGTGAAGCTTCTCGTCGAAGATGTCTATCCTTCGTTCACTGGTGCGAGTTTTAATGTGATAGTAGATAGCTAACGAGACGCACTTCACTGTATTCTTGAGGTTTGGCTGCGACACAGTCGAATCGTCCAGATAGATGGTCGAGCAAGAGCTGCTCTTCTTCAGTACCGTTCCCCCTTGGGGGGCTATCTGGTGCTGGGACTTTTTCCTCGTCATTCCATTCTCTAAACTTTGCTTGGATCGCTCAAGAAACATTGTCCCCGCCGAGGGATCCACCGACGGATCGTGTTCCCCATCGTCGCCTTCCCGTTCGGAGATGTGCTGTAGGTTGTTTGTCGAGAGTTCACCTTCCGGAAGATGTTCCTCGAACACTGGCGCTTCCTTAGTTTTCCGCGTTGGCGGAGGGCTCGAATACGAGCAGCACGAATTCTTGTTACCCATTTCGGTCTACTGGACGTTCAAGTTTACGCACACTCTTCACGTCAGACTGGACAGGACTGAAGCATGCTTGGAAGATAATCTCTACTGAAGCATAGTCATTCGGGTTTCAGACCTACAAGCGCTATCGCACCACTGATGCATGCAAACAATTTTTTTTCTCTGAAGCTTATCCCCCTTTATCTCGCTTCCCTTTGCTTCGGAAATGTCGAGTTTGATAAAAAATTACCAAAATCTCACTTGCGCTAACCGTTGTCGTCGTCGTCGTGACTAATATCAAAATATATCTGTATACTTTTAATGTTCTACGCCAATTGCCTGCCTACAAAATATATGACTAGTACCTTAGTGTGTAGCTTACTGATCCTAAATTTTGCTTTCTAGTTTCACTTTGTTTCGTTTGTTCTCTGGTTCGAATGTTAAGCGGTAAAATTTGGCACTGGATCCTTTATGGCCTAGACGCGAGTGGATTGCTTCTCTTGTATGGGGGGTTGGGTGAGTGGTGAGTATGTCTTACGGAGTCGTCGGTACCTGGCCACAATAATGTGCGGTTGTGCGTTTCGTCGAAAGAGGGACACAGAGATAGACGAGGAAAGCTTTTTTTTTTTTGATGACTCCTCAGGCTGGTTATCGCGTGTTTGTGGTTTTGTGGCAGACGGATCTATTCTGCACGTTGCTTTTTATCGGTGCGGTTGTGTCGGAGTGTCTGCAATCTCGCAAGGTTGCCTGTAAAGGAAGCAGATACGAGAGAATTATTAAAATGCTTTACATGAAGTTTCTTTTTGAACAATTAATTGATATGTTTAAGGAATCCAGCTGAAACAAATTTGGACACAATGGCTTAAAGACGATTACGGTTCGTTCAAATCATCAAGTGGGCTAAATACCATAAAAGCCCCTCAATAATTGACACTACCTCTGGCATCACGTCTAGTGCGGTATACAATGCATGTTTCATATTAAATTCTTGAATGACTATGTCAAACCACGGTGGCGCCTAATCGTGCAGGCACACGACATGCAAAATCATACAGATATACAAATATATCACATTTAAAAAACCCACCCTTTGCCATTATATAGAGAGATACTCCACCTGCTGCTGCTAGACTGACTGGTCAGGTCCGAAGACCGTTGTCACGCCATGAAACATCACCTTCTCACGTTTCATTTTTAGCCCATTGCTGTAGGAATCACCCCATCCCGAGTAAAGTCGGTTAACAAAATGAAAGCAAACCGATATTAAAGTTTGCTGTTCCTATCATAATGAAATCACATTTTGATATCAGGGCTGGTAGCGATATATGCTGTCCAAAATAGTGATTTTAGTGACCATGTTGAAGAAATAAGTGACCAAATAGTGACTTACAGTTTGTAAAAAAGTGACTAAAAAGTGACCAAAGGGAAGAAAATTAGTCGTTCTGATGGCATAACAAATAAATGTTTGAAAGTGGCGTTTCCTTAACCTCAATCTACTTGTGCACCAACTCTCAAAACATAAACAATTATCAAAATATTGCATGCAATGGATAGATATCGAGTAAACTAGAAGATTACGTTTATTTTTCAATCGATTCGAGTATGAATATGGCATTAAATATGATTTTGAAAGTTGGTGCACAGGTAAAAAGTGAGGTTACGAGACGCCACTGTGTTTGATGTTTTAGACTTATTCAATTAGATTCTCATAAACACTTATATATGTACGATAGGAACCTTTAAAGCAAAATATTCAATAGAAAGTTTATGACTAAACCTCCAAGCTCTTTCACACATTGAACTTTATATATCCAGAATGGATTAATCTTTATTTTTTTTCCTTTGGTTTGTTTTTTCCGTCGATCTTGTTTTCCGTGCTGAGCACCAATGCTACCGACGTGCCAGGAAGGCAGCTCCCACACCTGGACCCTACCTATCGACCCATCAACTCATGAACCGGGGACCAACGGCTTTACTTCCCATCCGAAGGAAGGCGTGATCAGAGATGTTATGCCTCAGAACATCCCGGCGGCGCCGACTGGGATTGAACCCAGGCCTGCTGGGGTGAGAGGTAATCACGCTTACCACTACACCACAGGCGCAGTTGGATTAATCTTTAGGAACAAATACATTTTTTTAAATTCAGAGGCTTCAAATGATTTGTTTTGTTTAGAATATGCATATTTCCCCCAAATTTTATAAACTCTGAAATGAAAAGTTATAATACTTCAAGAAAATTTAAAGAATTTGGAGTCAAGTTCCCTGCACAGTTTTAAGGCTCATGGAATTTTATTATAATTTCTAAGAACCTCAGTCTACGGGAGTTCTGAAAAAAAAAATCTATGAGAAAAACATCAACTGCAATCTGCTTTCATGGTACTTCTGAGAAATTTTAGGCTTCATGTGAAGCCTAAGCCTAAGATAGTAAACTCTAAGCGAATTTTCATGAGAAATCTCCGTTGAATATGGAATGGACTATTCTGACGTCTTCATAACTACTTGAAAGCTCCCAAAATATTTCTGAATTTAATTAAACTGCTTTGAAGTTCTTTTGTAGTTAGAGAAACTAACCTGATGCTCGCAATATTTCTGATTATTTTTTTTTTAACTTCTCTAAACTTTTTCGGACTTTCTAAAGTTTCCACAATTTTCATGAATCTTGTAATTTTCCTGCTCTGGAACATCTCTGCTCTGAGGATGTCTGTTCTTTCTTGAAGTTTTGTGCGTGTTTAGAGCCTTATTAGCGAGATCAATATCTTTCTCGAAGTTCTCGAAACTTCTCTAAAGTGTTTGCAGTTCTCATGAAGCTTGTTGTACTATCATGCATTGAATTGAACTGTTCTAAAAATGTTTAAGCATGCTTCTGGACCTATGTGAAAACCTCAATAATTTTCTTAACATCTCTAAAGTTCTCTGAAAATCTGGGAACTTCTTGAAATTTCCCGCTAATTTAGTTAAATTCTCTTAAAATCCATAGACTTTTATGAAGATCTCGAAATGTTTCTGAAGATCTACGTACTTCTGTAAAGTTTTCGAAGTTATTCTGAATTTTCAGGAACCTTCTTTAGGCTTCCGCAGCGAAATAATTAATATAGTTCTCAGTGGCGTCGCGTCCACATGTGCAACCTGTGCACGACACAGGTGTAAATAATTTTTTAAAATGCGTTTAGATTTTTATAGATTTTATGGTTACATTATAGCTGTACTTCTTTACTTCAGACCACAAGTGACCATGAATACACTATTTTATAGTGTGGTTCAATTAAATCTTCGACCTCGGTTCGCTTCAAAATGTATAAAATTCAGTTTGGATGGTCTGCCTAATCCCTAATGCATTGATTTCTATGCATGTCACTAACATTACCACGACAAAACTCGTTAAATAATGCACCTAAAAGCGAGCTTTTTTGGGTGGCGAGTGGCAAGTTTGTGAATGGTCAAATGCCTGATGTAAGCCAAGCATCACCTCTTGAAACATACCCCAAATTTTCCACAATACATGGCGGTTTGCACGGGAGCAACACGGAAACAGCAGTTTGGTACGCTTTAGACGTTATCATACTTGCAGACCGGTTTGAATGTGTGAGTTTAAATTAGAAAAACATTTGTGATGGATGGGTGCCTAAAGCGTGCATTTCTCGCTGTGCACTTGGATATCTGATTGCAGAAAAAGAGAGTAATGGAGAAAGAGAGCGCAAAAAGCTCGCTCTCACTCTCTTGTCAGTTGTGAATCTCTCAATTACCGATAGTTGCACCGGTGCGCCTATCAAAACTTATGAGCTTCCCCTGGTTCATTCTGATAGTGTTGTTCTGACGAATAAAGAGGTGATTAATTCAAGTTTGCTACCCAGGGGACTATGCATTTTCTCTAGATTTTGGCACTGTTTTGTATCAAAATTTTTTTTCGGAAGTGTTTGACGGATATTCTTTATTACACTTCAGTCGAAAGAGTTAGCCTTTTGATAAAAACGAGAATTCAAGCTGAACATTGCATTAGGTCCTAAGTAACATTGACAGATTTTCTCCGTTGACTTCGTCTTTGTATCTTGTCGGCCATGTAAAGACATTCCCAGATATTTTCAGCACACATATCGATAAAAGAAGCTTTTATCTAGCATCTAATACGAAAAACACAACAAGAAATGGTTATGTGCTCAAGTTATTAACGAAAGAGAAAGTCGATGAAGAGAATCGATCAATATTACTTAGGACCTAATGCAATGTTGAGCTTGAATTAGTTAAGTTTTGCAATTCCTCCTACTTCGGTTAGCGCGAAAAGGGCCATACAAGTTGTGTTTACACAAGATGATAGGCCCTTCAAATGTTACGTTAGGAAGTGATTAATATAGTTATTGAGAGTTTGTCCCTCGAATTCATGGAGCATTGAAAAATAAAACAAAAACTAATACATATGTGGTGGTCAACTATAACGAACAAAGTTTGGTGCACAGGTAAACAAATAAGGCATGCAACGCCTCTGATAGTTCTATGATTCTCACTGAAGTTCTCAAGATTTGTCTGAAGTTCAAATTATCGAAACTTATTCATAACTTCTTCAATAATCTAGAGTTTCCTGATGTTTTTGAAACTGTCCAGAATATTCCTCAATTTTCTTAAAATTCTCTAGACTACCCTGCCTCAGTATTTTTTTTAAAAAGAACTAACCATTTTACTGGAATTAGTTTTATTGCCTTTAAGTTCTACAATTTTCCTTAAGTTTTATTAAGTTTATAAACGCTCACGGAACTTTGCCTCAGATCACTTATTTTCCCTGCAAGAATTTTTCTATGCTTATTTAATTTCTCTAAATTGATCAAATGTTCCGGTAAATTTTTTGATAATTTCCGCTTCTAAAGTTTTCGGATCTATCATAGAATTCTCGGAATATTCCATAATTTTAAGGAACTCTAAGTCGCTGCAAATTTCCTTAAGTTAATGTGAGTTTTATGATGTTATCTGATCGTCCTCGAAGTACTCGGCACTTCACTGAATATAATGAAACAATCTAAAAATATCTAAATTTCTTAGAAGTTCTCTGAAATTTCTTGAAAATATCGGTGCTTGCCTAAAGTTCTCTAATCAACTTAGCAAAATTTTCAAATTTTCTTTACATCTCGAAATTTTCATGATATAACACTTTTGAAATACTCTCACATTTTCCGGATGTTCATATAATTTTTATTGCTTTCCAGAAATTTTCTCTGAGCAAACCCAAGTTTCCGAAAATTCAGGTTTCTGAAATTTCCTTGAAATTGTTTGAACTGCCCTTTAATTCTCTGGTCTGTCTTGATGTTCTCGGATCTTCCCTGAAACTCTCAACCCTAATGAAGATCTCGGTTCTGCTTTAAAATAAATGGAATTCTCATAAACACCTTTAAACTTCCCTGGAATTTTCTGGATTTCCGTGAAGTTCCTGAAATATTTCTGAAGTTTTCATAAATTTTCTGAAGGTTCCTGTACTGAATCTTTCGGAACATCTTATGGGTGCTCGATATTATTCCAGCACCTCATGGAACTATCTCGAATTTGTCTAAGCTCACGCTTATAGGTTTTTAAACCAAATTCAATAGTCTGGGCTAAAGTTTCGGGGAATTTCCCTTAAGATCTCTAGATCTAGCTTTTCTGAGATCAATATAACTACATTAAAGTTTCCACATTTTTGAAACGTGAAGACATTAAAAATGTTGTGATCTTCAACTTACTAAAATAAAGTAAGTGTTCAACTTCAACCGTTAATGGATTTAATA